TAGTAGTGGTAGTAGAAGTAGTAGTAGTAGTAGTAGTAACAGCAGCTGCAGCGACAGTAGTAGTCCTTGCCCACGTTTCTCGAGAAGTCTTCCATTATATGAATACCCCACGGACTATTGATTCTTGCCACGCCTCAGATACGTAAATGTGGTTGGATATTTTCTTGCTGCCATCCATTAGATCAACTTCTGTGGAATAACCGCGCAATGCTTATTCTACAAACTAGTAGTACTAGTAGTAGTAGTAGTAGTAGTAGCGGTGGTAGCGGTGGTAGTAGTAGTAGTAAAATTAGTAGTAGTAGTAGTAGCAGTAGTAGTGGTAGTCGTAGTAATAGTGGCAGTAGTAGTAGTAGCGGTGGTAGTAGTAGTAGTAGTAGTAGCGGTGGTAGTAGTAGTAGTAGTAGTAAAAGTACTAGTAGTAGTAGTGGTAGTGGTAGTAGTAGTAGCAGTAGTAGTAGAAGTAGTAGTAGTAGTAGTAGTAGTAGTGACAACAGCAGCAGCGACAGTAGTAGTCCCTGCTCACGCTTCTCGAGAAGTCTTCCATTATATGAATACCCCATGGACTATTGACCCTTGCCACTCCTCAGATACGTAAATGCGGGTGGATATGTTCGTGCTTCCATCCATTTGATCAACTTCTGTGGAAAAACCGCGCAATGCTTATTCTACAAACTAGTAGAGGTAGAAGCAGCAATAGTAGTAGTAGTAGCGGCGGTAGTAGTAGTAGTAGTAGCGGTGGTAGTAGTAGCGGTGGTAGTAGTAGTAGCAGTAGTAGTAGTAGTAGTAGTAGTAGTAGTAGTAAAAGTAGTAGTAGTAGTAGTAGTATTAGTAGTTGTAGCGGTGATAGTAGTTGTAGTAGCGGTGGTAGTAGTAGTAGTAAAATTTAGTAATAGTAGTAGTAGTAGTAGTAGTAGTGCTAGTCGTAGTAATAGTGGTAGTAGTAGTATTAGCGGCGGTAGTAGTATTATTATTATTAGTAGTAGCAGTAGTAGTAGCAGTACTAGTAGTAGTAATAACAGTAGTAGTAGTAGTAGCGGTGGTAGTAGTAGTAGTCGTAGTAGTAGTAGTAGTAGTAGTAGTAGTAGTAGTAGAAGTAGTAGTAGTAACAGCAGCTGCAGCGACAGTAGTAGTCCCTGCCCACGCTTCTCGAGAAGTCTTCCATTATATGAATACCCCATGGACTATTGATTCTTGCCACGCCTCAGATACGTAAATGTGGTTGGATATTTTCTTGCTGCCATCCATTAGATCAACTTCTGTGGAATAACCCCGCAATGCTTATTGTACAAACTAGTAGTAGTAGTAGTTGTAGTAGTAGCAGCAGTACTAGTAGCAGTACTAGTAGTAGTAGCGGTGGTAGTAGTAGTAGTAGTAGTAGTAAATGTAGTAATAGTAGTAGTAGTAGTAGCGGTGATAGTAGTAGTAGTAGTAGTAGCGGTGGTAGTAGTAGTAGTAGTAGTAGTGAAAGTAGTAGTAGTAGTAGTGGTGGTAGTAGTAGTAGTAGTAGTAGTAATAGTAGTAGTAGTAGTAGTAGTAGTAGTAGTAGCAGTACTAGTAGTATTACTAGTAGCGGTGGTAGTAGCAGTAGTATTAGTGGTAGTAGTAGTAGTAGTAGAAGTAGTAGTAGTAACAGCAGCTGCAGCGACAGTAGTAGTCCCTGCCCACGCTTCTCGATAAGTCTTCCATTTTATGAATAGCCCATGAACCATTGACTCTTGCCACTCCTCAGATACGTAAATGCGGTTGGATATTTTCGTGCTGCCATCCATTAGATCAACTTCTGTGGAATAACCGCGCAATGCTTATTCTACAAACTAGTAGTAGTAGTAGTAGTAGTAGTAGTAGTAGTAGTAGTAGTAGTAGCAGCAGTACTAGTAGTAGTAGTAGTAGTAGCGGTGGTGGTAGTAGTAGTAGTACTAGTAAAATTAGTAGTAGTAGTAGTAGTGGCGGTGGTAGTAGTTGTAGTAGTAATAGTAATAGTAGTAGTAGTAGCTGTGGTAGTAGTAGCAGTAGTAGTAGTAGTAGTAGTAGTAGTAGTAGCAGCAGTACTAGTAGTAGTAGTAGTAGTAGCAGTAGGGAGAGGATGAGGTTGATCCTCGGCCTTGCGATCCATTCCCGCATTTCGCATCGCCTGTAGTTGTGCCACCTGTGGAGGACTGCTCTGTCTGCATCAGTTCCGCAGTTGGCGTAGACTTTGTGCAACCTATCCCTCTCAAAGTGCCGGTCTATACTTTCCGCGACATTTTCCTCAAACCAGTCTTGGTGTTGGCAAGTCGCGCAACCCATGGGATGAATTGGTTTCCGCAGTTATCTTACTGTGTCTCCGCGGAGGCCTTTTTGGTCGGGAATATGCAGTTCTTCCAGGTGTTTGGTTATTTGATGACTGGAGTTCAAACAGTTAACAGACACACGCAACAGCCGTTTGCGCTAAAACGCATGTAAGCAGTCATAAGACAACATGTCATGAGGCCGGCCGGTGCCTAATAAATAGAACTGACAGGCGTATCGTAAACATACCATTTTGTGGTTATAGAGAGAACTTTCCTTCCGTTAAATTAATTTACACTTTTCGTTCGTTTCGGATTACGTTGAGTTTCAGATCGGCCTCGAAATGTTGCTGAATACTTCATGATTTCCAGCATTTTCACCCGATCGTCCATAAAGACAGATTCTGAATTAGCTGTCTGTTGAGAACTTTAAAAGCGATTATTCTTGAAGGCATTTAGCGGATAAGTGAGTGTTCGGGTGCTCCTTTTCACGAAGACGGTCTTTTGGGTAACAAATTAAGACTCATTCATATATCAAACTTCATTTTCGAGAAAGATGGCTGTCCACAACGAAAGTCAGCAACGAATATGCCTTCGATCAATACGAAAATTTCCCTTAATAAGTTACCTCTTAGAAAAGTGCTTTATTACTGCACTCCGTTGACTGATCTCTGTCTTTGCATTTTTGCACGGTAAGGCCAAGCAAAAATTTGACACTTTTGGCCGTTTCTTTCGAGTCCCTAAGCTATAGTAATATTTTTCTATGGTAAACGTAAGAATGTGCTTTTCACTGCTTTTGCTCGCTTTTAGACTCCGTTCTTCGATTATGAATGCACAGCAGAGCACCAATTATAAATACTGATATTTTGCTGAAGCTATTCATGTTTTGATCGTTCTATTTCTGAATAAGGTATGTACAGAAACTAACCTACACGACAAGTAGTGTTACATGTGGCAAAATAAGTTCAGGTCATTTGAACGAAGGAATCCCTGTCTGCGTTATTACTGTACTTAAGGGCACCAAGTCGCACAGATCTGCCAATTTTAAATGTAGGAATCGGTAAAACCTCTGATTTTCTTACAATGACCTTTGTGTTAGCCGGTTGATTACCACGGTTAACATCGGACATGAAATAAATTTTTTGAGTTTGGCGAAATCTGTTTATTAAAACCCTCGCGGGTAAATTATTATCCTTTCAAAGAAAAAAGTCGCTCAGATGCGTAACCGGAGTTTAGGACATGTATTAGCATAGGAAATCACACAAATATATGCCAACGTCCATTTTCGCTAAATTTTACTGACATTTTGCTGGATATAATTACGTAAACACAATTTATGCACAAGAAAAGGGCATTCCACCGAAGGCTGTGGATGAGCGAACAGAATGCGCAACGTTAAAGACGTCCAGAAATTCTCGCATCAGTTTCCGTAATCAGATTTCATAAGACAGGTCATGTACTGTAGGTTTGTCCTTCCAGGGACCGTAACTGTTAGCGTGATGCGGAGTTACCGACCAACGATGAATTTGGCGCTTTCATCTCAACGTCTGCAGACAAGTTTTCGGAGTGTCCGATTAATGTCAGACATCGCCTCCGATCGCTAGAGCAGGTCACCGCGCAGACAATCTGACTCTGAACAACCGCACGCATTCGAGCACGGCGCCGTGTGAAACTTTGCAGCGGCACTGTACGCTTAACAGTCTGCTAACCGACACGATGGACTGGTAATCTCCGTTCACCGACACTACAGGTCATTTACCTCCTCTCACCCCCCCCCCCCCTCTTCAGATAGACCCAAGTCAAGGTGGCGTTAAATGACAATTTACAGACATCCTTACTGTCAACAGATGAAAAAAGCTGACCGGTTTCCAGTTTAAAAACAGTCGGGGACAAACTGAACAGGACCAGGATTATAGGACAATAGTAATGGAACCTCAGTGCCTCGATCGTAGTAAGCGTTAGATCAACAACGAGTGATTAATATTATTTTTTTAGCTAAGACCCTTCGGGGTCCTGTCATAGCTGTTTTATCAATAACGACACATGATCTTAGTTTGAAACGGGTCAATGATTGTTAAGACATCTACCTCACACGTTCTCCCCTTCTACGACCCACTGTCGTCCGATGGCGTAATGCTTTTCGGCGAACAGGTTGCGGATATCTACGTCGATTTCGTCGAGCCAGTCCTGGTTTTGGCTGCGTGCGCGTCCGAGGACGTCCAAAACAGTGGATTAAGGGCATTTTGCAGTTGACAACACCGGGTCTCCATGGTGGCGTTTTTGTCCGGGATCACCAATTATTCCAGGTCTTGAAATGTAAACGTTGAATGGACAAATTCAGCAGAACAGTATTAAGCTTGACTTGTGGCCTCCTCCGAGAGCACGATCAGAGCCTTGTAGAGGCACAACTGTGAGATCGTGTGTAGTCTGTGATCTACAATTATTAAATCAAACCTCAGATTGGACGGAGAAGACGCCAGACCGGTCATTATGGCTGCCCGCTACAGCCTCATCTTGGAACTGACGAGGCGGCGTCGCAGATAGCCTTTGTCACCAGCATCTCCTGTCGATCGGCGGGACGCATCCAGGCGTCCTTTTCCGCATCGGCGAGCGGAAGGTGCTGGCCAGGAAGAGGCGGTGTTCTGCACAGGGTCGCAGAAGCAGAAAGCTGTTGTCGTGGCAGCCGCCGCTCCCATGAGGTACCACTACTCCCCTCCAGGCAGCCTGGTGTTTCCCGAAGTCGCCAAGGACGATCTGATTGTCCGCCTTCTGCCAGGAGGAACGCGGAGGTCCTCGTGGAATTTGTTCTTCGTCTCGTTCAACCTGATCTTTGGAGGATTTCGGCACCGATGATGGTGGCAAATTTGGTTTCCCAAAGAGGCAGGCAGTGGCTCACCTTACCAGGCAACAAATGAACGACAGGCTCGGACATCCGACGGGTACCCAGGACACAGAGATGGGAGTGGCGTCGACTCTCATGACCCCATTCCCACGTCGCGCACCTAACTACAATAAATATGAAACTTGCCTGTCGTACGAGCCGGCATTTATCTTAAAGAATAAAAAAACATCTTCCTGCATGGTTAGGAAAGGGTCAAATAAAGAACACCAACAGTTCGATAACATTTTAGAAACAGACCACCGTGTAGACGTCAGAGAGGCCTTCAGAATGATTGACAAGGTCGCATCAAGCTATCCAAAACTACTTCGGCAGCGGCTGTTGGCTACTGCTGCAATCAGGCTACACGGACCGGTCCTATGCGCACCGAGGAACTTCATACAGGTCCCACATTTGCCATAGTTCGAAGCCACAAAGCCAGCCGCCCGCATGTAAATACCTTCTCCCTGGCGCGGACTTGAATTATGGTGTTTCACTCTCTCCTCCCCTCTCCCCGAACCCGGGCTACAGCTTACCTACTTGCCCGTATCTTTTAATGCATTACTTCAATAGCCATATAAGTGTATAGGTCTGAAGAGAATTTATAGATAGCAGGCCAATACTCACCAAATTACCTTTTAAATATGAAACGTTTGAATATACCACGACTCGCCAATCTCGTGACTGGTAAGGCTGCCAACTGATGGAACAAATCGGTCCACTTAGGACTCAGAGTCAGACTCGGTGGCTCCCCCCGAATGTGATATCCATGGCCTTTCCACTCTGGTGGGCTCCGAGTAACCCAATGCGGAAACCTGGTGCAGTGTTAGGGGACACGTATACAATCTCTTTAACGTTGTATATCACCATGTCGGAGCTCGCCTTCGGAAGTCCTGATTCTGCCTTGCCACTGGGCAATGTTGATAAGGGAGAAGAGAGTACGGTAAATGCTGCGCAAGTCCACTATTCCTATAAACCAATCTACTACGCCGCCAGGGGCACACAGTGGATATCTTTGTTCGCGACGATCGAAATGGCGGAGACTAGAGGAAACTTTATCTACTTTGCTAGCGGCGGCGGCGGCGGTGGTGGTGGTGGTGGTGGTGGTGATGGTGGTGGTGGTGGTTGCGGTGACGGTGGCGATGGTGGTTAGCACCCACTGCTGATGATGAGCATGCTTTGTGGTGAGGTTGTCGGGCGCTCATTGTTCTGGGTCCGCTAATTTCCAATTCAGCCAATCCGCGCTCGAAATGATTGTTTTCGATGTGGACACGATGGCAGGGCTTGAGTGTTCGCTCTGGGACGCTCGAGGCTCGCTTGTCTTGCGCTTTTCCCTGGCTTCTGCTATTTTGCGGATTTTGAAGGCATAACGCCGACTGATTTGGGTGACCAGCGTGCGGCGGCGCAGTCAGTGACCAATCTCATTAAATTTTGAGCGAAATTCTAACATGCGTTCTCGATTGGGAGGGACTACTTAGGTGGGGTTGTAATATTGATTATCTTGTGGTGTAATCACGTGATATCCCAGACACGATAGTGTGTTGACTTTTGAATACACTCCTCTTCACCGCCTGCAAAAGCTGCACCCGATAGAAATGATTAGCGAAGTAGCATGAATTTTCCCCAATTGACCCTTGACGCCTTAGCGAATTCAAATATATTGTGTAAAAAACCTTACAAAATATTATTTACGGTACTTTGTTAGTAGCAAATCATGTCTTCTTAAGGTTGTTTACTCGAAGAATGGTATATTTTGGTCCTGAGGGAGTTTTTCGGCTCCCGAATGATTTTGAAATCTATCCACCGTTGCATTTTCGTCTAGGTTTCTCAGTCTGCAAACCATATACTTGCCGTTTAGTGAAAAGCATACATTCCTTTATACAATTAAAAAATATCATATGGGTTTCATAAAATGGTGCAACAGACGAAGATACGACGCTAGTCGAATGAACATTGCTCAATCTCAAAAATCTTGTAATTAGAAACATTTTAAATTCAAAAAACCCTTGCTTTGAACACAAAATTTGAAGAAGGCGTGATTCACTGCCAAAAATACTTATGCGCATGTTTCCTGCAAAATATACCTGAATTTACAGTAGATGGCCTAACTCATGAAATGTCAGCCGAAATTTCGAAATTCGTTCTCGTTTCGAAAAAATAATTAAAAAGGGTTCTAAAACTAAACATTTTGCAGCAAAATTCTATAATAACCCAATTACCACAGGTTGTCGGCTTTCGAATGAACTTCTTCTCGACTGCATGCAAGCACTATACTATGCAAAAATGACTACTTAAGAAGCATGCATTTTTTGTTGATTTGCGATGCCCTTAAAAATTCAATTATATTTCATTGAAAACATGCACAAAACTATTCATTTTTTGCGCATTCGGTAGAAAATTACTTCTTCTTGCAGTTTTATACTCGAAGGAAAAATATAATTTGGCCTTTAAGAACTTCTCCAATTTTTGAACTCGACCTGCCGTTACACTTGTGGTCCTCCTTTATTAAGGTAGAGAAACGTATGGTTTTCCGTACGCGGAAATTATACGGCTTGTAGTTTCCAAACCCTGAATGCAAGTGTAACGGCAGGTCAGGTATTAGTTCACACGCGCTCCCCTCCACGAGATCCGAGCCCTGCTTGAGCTTCCTTTTTTGTCCTAATCCAGTTGATGACCAAAGAGCTTTGCTAACGGAATTGTCCCGACGGTACGGAACTTCGTCGGTTCCACTGCAGTAGTCATGCACTGCGAATTATCACGCGGTACCCTCGGTGGCCTTCCAGTTGTGATTGCGTCTCCAATATCCTCTCAATCCAGCAAGTGGCTGTGTCGGGGATGGGGTGTGCACACGTCACCTTCACTCGCTTCCCTGCGCGTGTTTCGAGCTCTGCTTGCACTCTCTTTCCCTCCCCAATCCAGCGAGTGGCCAAGTTAGGTTTGCCAACTAATATTGTTTTAGTAAACTAACCATATGACATCACTCAGGTAGGGCTGCAGAACCAAACCTCGTCAAAATATGTTTGTGCGCGTTTTTTTTAATGAAATATAGTTCATAAGGGCGTCGAAAATCGATGAGATCCCGCTGCACTACAACCGGTATTACAACCCTGATTCAGGGATCTTGTTGGATGGAAGACACATTTCAGAATTTCGGCTGACATTTCATGAGGCAGCACATGTGAAGGTCGGGCTAGGCGGGTAGTTCAATTCTCATGACCGAGCTCAGCCCTCCAGTCAGGATTGGTCGGTGAGCGGCCTGCCAAACGGACGCTGGCATGTGGCGCAATGGCAAGGCATTGCAGAGAGAAAAGGGTGGAAAAGAAGGGGAGGAAGGCAGGATGAGGAGGGAGGACGAGGCAGAGACCTACCTCAACAGCATAGTGCAGCGGATGAGCGCCAGCGCTGTCGCCGATGACGGTGGAGGCGCCCAGCATCGAAACTATGCCCGAAAATGGGCTTTTTTCTACCTACAGTAGGTGGTCTAACTCATGAAATCTCAATAGAAGTTCCGAAATGCGTTCCCCTTTTGAAAAGATTAATTAAATAGGGTTGTAAAACCAATCATCGTGCAGCATAATTCTATCACAATTTAGCTACCTCAGGATGCCGGCTTTCAAGCAAACTTCTTTCCGGCTGCATCCAAAAACCATACTCCGTGAAAAATGACTACTTAAGTAGTGGGCATTTTTCTCGTTGATTTTCGATGCCCTTAAAGACCCAATTATATTTTATGGAAAACATGCATAAAAATATTCATTCTTTGAGTTTTAATCAGTAGAAAATTATGTCTTCTTTTAATTTTACACTCGAAGGAAGAGTATAATTTGGTTTTATATAACTGTTCCGATTCCCGAATAATTTTGAAGCCGACTTGCCGTTACACTTGCATTCAGGGTTTGGAAACTACAAGCCGTATAATTTCCGCGTACGGAAAACCATACATTTCTCTACGGTAATAAAGGAGGACCACATAGAGTTTATAAAATTTAGCAGTGGATTTGATCCATATTGCAAACTTTAAAAACCAAATAGGTAAATGCAGAGACATGACGTTTTATGAAGGGTCATTTCGCGGAATTGAAAAATCTCACAATTAGAAACTTCTTCAAAACCTAATTATACCTTTCCTTCGAGTATGATATTGGAAAATGTATGTTAGGCACAATTGTTTTAGTAAACTAAGTATATGGTATCAATCAGTTAGAGCTGCAGAACCAAATCTCGCCGTCGATGCTACTTATTATTATTTCTACTTCAGATCTCATCTGGTTCCTAGTGGCAAATGCAGAATCCCATGCTATGCTCGTGACTCTTGTCAGTTAACGGCTTTGCGGTGATGTGTGAAGGCCTCCTAATCGAATTCCTCAACACGGCGAAACTGCTCCTGGTTTGCGTGTGTGGTTAGGAGACCGGATGCTGGTGTTAGTCGGGTGGAAGCTGTAAGTTGCCTGGTCGATCGGTGCTGTCTGAGGTCAAGTTCAATGACACCGCGGAGGTAGGCATGGGGGTGGCGGGGGGGGGAGGAAATGGCGATCGTGAGGACGCACTAGTGCTGCAAGAACAGCATTGCGTGACAGTAAAATTTCGCTCCTGCTTTGCGTAGAAAAATAGCCGGACGAATGCGGTAATCAGTGAAAACGTCTGAAGCCAAGGTGGCGATGTGCATGTTTGGTTGAAGACTGCACCAACTCCTCCCCTCCCTCCGTCAGAGTGCCCTTCATCCAACAGAAGGTGAGCCAACTCGTGAGATGACAACCAAAATTTCGAAATGCGTTTTCGTTTCCAAAAGTTTAATTAGGTAGGGTTGTAAAACTAGTAAGCCTGCAACATAATTCTATACTATTTCAGTTACCTCAGGATGCCGGCTTTTGAATGAATTTCCTTCCGACTGCATACAAAAACTATATTCTGTAAAAAATGACTATTTAAGTAGCCTGAATTTTTTCATTGATTTTCGATGCCCCTAAAAGTCCAACTTTATTTCATGGAAAACATGCATAAAAATATTCATTCTTTTGCTCATTCGGTAGACAATTACGTCTTCTTCCAGTTTTATATTCGAAGGAGGGACGTAATTCGGATTTAAAAAACTTTCTAATTGTGAGACTTTTCAATGACCTAAAATGGCCGTTCATAAAACGTCATTTCTCTGCATTTACCAATGTGACTTATAAAGTTAACAATATGGATCACATCCAATGCTAAATTTCATGAACCCCATTCGGTCTCCTCTTAATACCGTAGAGAAATATATGGTCTTCCGTTAGCGAAAAATATACGGCTGGTAATTTGGAAACCCTGAATTCAAATGTGACGGCAAAGGGGGTTCAAAATTATTCGGGAATTGGGAAAGGGCTAGATCGTAGTTGGTAGCCAGGAATGGGGAAGCGGACGACGACCTAATCCTAAGCTTAACCCTAACCCTAACCTTAACCTTAAAGTTAATCGTTAACCCTAACGGCAATCCTAACCCTAACCGAAATCGTAAACGTAACCGTAGCCCCTATACATAGCCGTAACTGAAAAAGCTAACCGTAATACTGAAACCTAATCATACACTCAAACCCCAACCGTAACCCCAAAATCTAAACTTAAAGGCATAACCCTAACCCGAAATTCGGAAACCATTAGCCGGTACCCTATTCCTAACCTCAGACGTAAAACGGAAGCCAAGTGGGTCAGATGTGATTATGGAACCCCAAAAAATAGCCCCAGTAAACAAACCCCTCAGCCACCTGTAACACGGGGCCTGGCTACCAACTGCGATCTAGCCGACGAATGTAATAAAGAAGCTTACGAACTTCAGTGAAAAGGCACTCAATATGGAGGGAAAATGAAAGATTTGATGACCAAGTAACGCCAAGGTACCTGAGAGGGGATACCTCGTTGGGAAGGATGTCAAAGGATTTAGGACTAGGAGGGCGTCGCAGTCGGAAAATACACAGAACGGATTTGTGATTGTTCATTCGTGGACCATTTTACCGCGACCATACTGAGACATGGTCAAGGCCATCATCCAGAGACTGGAGATGTGGCCATCGACCACATCGTCAGCATACTTAACTAATAGACAGTCGCTTGGGAATCTCAGCCCATCAGTGCGGAGGGAGAAGAGGTGAGGGGATAGAATGGAACTTTGAAGAACTCCCCAGT